GCTCGAAATGCGAAAGCAATTCTCTTACATTATACCCTATACAAACACCTGAAGCGGGCGTACCAAGTGTATACATATTTGCCTTTACCATTTCGCCAACTACTATGGATTGAATATATTTTATTTATTTATTGTTAGATTACCTCTTTTTATATTTTAAATATGTTTTTTTTTAACTATTTTGACTGCAATATTCAGGAACAAACTATTTGTGTATAGTTAGTTGCATACTTCTAAAATTCCTTCTTTAAAGCTAAAGTAAGTTCATCAATAATATAAGAGTATGGTTACAAAACTGTATGATTGAATAACACCAGAAATATATTTTCATATAAGCAATAGAACGTTCAAACAGAATTCATTAAATATTTACAAACTGTGCCTGTTTTTACGTGTAAATTGTTTAATTATTAAATACCTATTCAATTGCTAAAATTATATTAACAGGCATTAAAGTATTCTTAAATACAAGAAGCTGTTTCTTTTGTAGAGAATTGGCTATTCGATCAGTTTCTTACTTCCTGTTACGCAATATTCGTTTCGGGCTTGTCTTATTTATTCACCGATGTAAGGAAGCAGCCGAATAATAAATTTGCACTTGTTGTTGATGCTAAATTAAAATGCACAGCAGATTTATATGCACATGAAGAGCCACAAGCCACCCCTCAACCACATCCCCCAACCACCCCCGCAAAGTATGCAGAAAGCAGTTCAGACTTTTGCCGAGATTTTTGTGGGCGCATTCGCATTTTATGAGGAGATTCCACGTACAACTTTTTGCCACCTGGAGTCCAATGGCAAAAGTTTATGCTCAACAGTCAGCCACAAAACTTGGACTCATCATCAAGTTGAAATATATATGCCACGCCAAGTTGTGCCATGTGTGCCCCCCAGGGGCATGCAACATTGTGTTCAGGACAACCCTGAAGTGACCGTTAGACAGTGAGGCAGCTGCACGAGTACGTTGCTGCACGAGCTGTCACGCTGGTTAGTTGCTCTACGTGTGGTTACTGCCACAATACAGGGTGTCAATCAATCATTACTACAGCCAGGCGCTACGTGGAGGGATGGAATGATTGAGGAATGGGCTTCATTTCATTGCCACTCGGTTGCACCAAATCGTCGTAATGTGCGGTGTTGGCTGCAAATTAACGTGATGCATGCTGCACACTCACATTCACACACAAACAATACACACTATTCCACTTTCCCTCCCCTCTTGCAGCCCCTGACTGACCACAGTGGTCAGTCTGTGCAATTCGTCCATCAATCATGTCCTTCGATTTCGACTCTCAAAATTTAATTGACTTTGATTTTGTAAAGTTGAGCCCTGTGTGTGTGTGTGTGTGTGTGTAAGAGTGTGTGTGAGTTTGTCTAATTTGGTGCTGATTGAGTGGCAAATGTTTGATGTGCTGTGAAATTGAGTTGATTCTCATGTTAAGTGCTTCCAGAATCGACTTTAGATTGTTCTATTAAATTGCATTTGTCATTCTTTTTCATGTCATTTTTGTTGTTGTTGCTGTTGTTGCTAATTTTTTGGCTTATACATTTTGTTAAAAGTTTAACTAAGCCATATTTGAGTTGCACTTACACTACCAAGCAAATAAATTGTTATAGCAAAAGCTTTTTCTGTTTATTTTTGTACTTTAAATTTAGTTGTTTAACTTTCGATTGTGTGTGTGTGCTTTGGGGAGACTTTCAAATTGCGACCAAAATAAAAGCCATTGTTTATATTTGCCATTTGGAATGTTATCAAGCAATAAAATCAATTTTTAGAATCCCACTTTTCTTTACGACTTGAAAGTTTTTTACGATTTCCCATTAATTTGCCTTGAGGATGTCTATGAAAAATGAAAGGAACCTGATTAAGCAACAAAGCAAATTGAATTTAACTGCATTTAATTGTACATTACCAAATGCATAAAATGCTTAACTGAATTTAATTGTACATTACCAAATGCATAAAATGCTTAACTGAATTTCTAGCACAGTTCGATGACTGAGTTTAAAGAACAGCAGAAATAATTATTTATAGTCAGTTGGAACAAACGATATTTTGATATTCGTATTAAATAAATTAGGCGCTTGAAACAATTCTGTTATTTTTTCATTTATGAGTATTTGTTGATTTTGTACAATAAATGTGTATTTTTTTCATGAATATGTCCTAGTCACTTCACTCGACATTCTCTCACTGCAAATTGGTTTTATGCCATTATAAATTCAAATCTATTCTGTTGACCGTCGTAATTCAATTTATTCAGGTTTTTATTTCAAAATAAATATTTTCTGAACAAAAAATGTGCAATTTTGTGATAAAAATAAATGGATTTGATTAAATAAATTTATAAGCCACTTTTAAGTCTTTTTAATATGTAAAGCTGTGTAAATATCCCCGATAAACTTCTCCGAAAGGTCATAATAATAATATTGTCAATGAAAAATGATAAGATAAGGGTATTGATATTGAGATAGATATATGTATATATATATATATATAAACTGAATATTTTATTGGAGTGAACATAAACATGCAATTATTAAATGCCCGTTAAATTTTTCATTATCTAGAACAGAAGCTAACTGAACTGAGAATGCTCCAATCGAGAGAGAGACTACGGGATACCCTGGAATAAACTAGTACACTATAAATTGTGAGTTTCTTTTCTGATTTTGATGAAATTTGAGCAGTTAATCAATAATACATCAATGCATTATATAGATATATATATATTCTAAAAACGAAGGCAGTTATCTGCGCACAATAAGGAGATTCTTGAGATTTGTTTGCTCATTCAGACGGACAGAGGTCGACTCTTCTATTAGTCTTGATCAAGCTTTATGGAGTAGGAGTTATTACTTTCTGCCTGTAACATACTTTTGCACAACATAATTTGTCGCTATTTATCCATTTTTATTGTGTTCAGGGTATAAGCAGAGTAGGTTAGACTGAAATGTCAAAGAGCGACAGATAAGATAAATGTGCATAAAAATGCGCACGAGTGAGAATAAAGCAGACACAGTTGCTAAATGAATGTCTATTTAAAAAGATTTGTGTGCTCGTGACAGTGACAGAATTGTAACCGCATTTCAGTTGAGAGTGTTTATCACCTTAAATATGATAAATGGATTTACTTTTAGCAATTAACACCTGAAACCGAGTCGGGCAACACAAAGCAAGACCGAGATTCCACATGAGTCAAATCGCTGGAGATGAACGGCGACAACAAGCTTAAAAACCAGAAACTCTAAATTATCACTCTGCGCTGGTCGCATTGCTAATTGGTAAACAGCATTTGAGCTTAAGCTGGAACTGAAACTGGAGCTGGAGCTGCAGCTGATGATGATGGAGCTGCTTGTGGCTTGGACAATTTATGAAAACCGATCCAACCGTTTAACAATGAGTGTAGTTGGTTGTTTATTTACTCATTAGGTTGTCAAAGTGTTGACCTAAATCCTTTGCCGAAAGCATAAGCTTTTGTATTAAAAATGGTTGGGAGTGTTGGGAGTTGGCCAACCAGGCGAATGCCGTTTTTTTCGTATGAAAAGTTGGTCATCAGCGTAAGTTGGTGATTTGAACTCACGGCTCGCTTTAATGTAATTCACTACGGCTGGCAGAGAGTAAAGAGAGGCGAAATCGGACAAGTTAAGTAGATAAACCGACCTTTAATTTAAAGCAAGTCTTGTGTATTTAATTAAAATTTATATAAATCGAGACTATGTTAATTATCTTAAAAAAAAAAAGAAAAAAATCCTCAGAAACTTTCTTATTCTTAAAAAAAAAGACGTTTAAATAGTTGTTTAAATATATCAAATTCATAATACTTTAAATTCAGCGCTTTTAAACAAAAAGTAGTCTAATATCGTAATAAAATCTTTTATTTATATTGCAGTAAGAACCAAAATAAAAATAGCTCTGAACACAATTCAATTTAAAGTTATCTCATTTATTTCGAAGGCTCTCAAATAAAGCACTACGATTGTCCAAAAACCGCTAAAAGCGTAATAAAATCTCTAATTTATATCGCAATAAAAACTAAACTAAAAATGTCCCTTAATACAAAGATTCAAAGCACTCTTATTACTATTATAGAAGTATAAAGTGTTCTCAATTTAACTATTGGGTATTTGCTATTGAAAATTGATGTGCCTAAGTCGAAACAAAATAAACAAATAAACTCTAGCAAGAGACATTCCCAGCCAAAATGGCATAGACACAAAAATCAATTTGCCGACGGGTGAAATTTTGCCCAGATTTGAGCATTAATACCATTTTGACCGTGTTTCGGAGGGTGCTCAAACGAATTCCTGTGGTAATAAGTTCAAATTCGCTCAACGAATTTGACGAGCTATTTTTGGTGTCCAACGGAACTTTGTCTAGTCGTTGTCTGCATACAGACATACAGACACACACACACACACACACAGACACACACACATTTGTGGGGGAGAGGAGCAGGCCGGGCTGTAGGAAATAAGCATCCGCGAAAGGAAAGCAGCAACAACTCTATATTTATGTAAATATTTAGGAAAACCAAACAGCTCGGCCGGACGAGCACTCTGCTCTCAGGTGTTGTTGCTGGGTCTGCGGGCGAGGCACGTGTATGAATATTTTATGCACCCACTGTGTCAACTGGCTGCCAACATCAAACTGCGCGTCTAGACAAACTTGAGTCCACAGTGGTTTTTCGTAAACTCGTAAGACACACAAGTAGAGCACATACACAGACTTGCACATACACACACACGCACACACACACACACACATGCACACACACACAGACACACGCACACACATACACACATACACACACACGCACACACACACATACAATTAGCACACGCGTAAAGTTGGAGGCAGTCAGGAATTGATGCCAACTGCTTTTCTTTGTTAACTTTTTGCACTTAAATATAAACACTGGCTTCTTTGTGTGTATGTATTTATTTATTTGTAGCTTGTTGGCTATTTAGAAATGATATGAAATTGTTTGACTACTCACTCAGCAATGCTTTTAGATAACGGCCAGCGCTCCATGGAGGCCTGATATTTCATATTCTCGATTTGCTTCTTTAATGCGTCCCGATCCATGTTTTGTAGAGCACTGGGATCCATGGCGGCTAAAATTTATCCACATACCACCCCTGCAAAGGCAACAGAGCACAGAGAACAGCGGTGAGCAAAATGTTACGAGATGCTATAAATGCTGCAAGACTTGAGCAACGCTCTCTGCTTTCTCATTGTTGTAAGCTTTGCTATTGCTTTTCGCGGGGTTGGTTTTGGGGGTTGCAGCAGGTTTGTTGTTCGCTGCTTCTTGTTGGGCACCCTGTATGCCTCTGTGGCCGGTGTCTGATGTTTGCAGCTCAGCTGACGCCTGCGCTCAGCACTCACAACAAATCAATAGAGAGCACGAGCGAAAGAGAGTAAAGTAAAAAATGAGTGAGAAACAGAGAGAGAGAGAGAGACAAAGAGGCGTTAACAGTGCCGCCTAAAAGGCTGCTATAAATCGCATTTGGTTAAGCGCTGTTTTGGGCCGCGTAACATTTTTAGACATTTGTTTACCTCCATCTGGCAGGCAGGAGAGCAAAGAGATGCAGCCAAAAATAAAAGGGCGCGCCCGACATCTTGAAAAATGCCATACCGAAAAGCAAATTTCTCAAAAAACAGCTGAGCCAAGCACGCAGCTGCCTCTCACTTCCTCTATCTCCCTCTCTCTCCCATTATTAATCTCCCCCTCTCTCTTTCTGCCTTATTCCGCCCATTGACCGGCTTTTGAGTTGTAATTTATGGAACTTCATCTATGTGTATTTTGCCAAAACGGATTTTATTCTCTATTTTTTTTGTTTGCATAATGTCATAAATAAAAGCGGCGTGTCAAATTTTTTTTGTCCAGCCCCAACATTTGGGGGTGTGAAAAGTGAATGAATACAGTGAGAAAATGCTGCGTGTTATGAGACAATTAATTTCTGTTAGCAGCGAACTGTTCAACAAGGCGTATTTATTGCATCTGCAAACAAATTATATTGCCCGAAACGCTGGCAGGACAAATACTGGGAGAATTACTTGGGTTTTGTGGGATGATAGAAAACTTAATAAGTTTTATGTTGGACACTTTCGAAAGCCCAAGAAAAAAATATTTATTTCATTTTTTTTATAAGTTTTAAGCATTCAGCAAATAAAAAATAATAAATTACAAATATTAAAATTGATAAAATTAATAAAATACTTGTGCTCAAACATCCATAGACAACTAAGAATCTATTTAATTACTATGCAATCTATTTAATTACTACAACTAAGAAACTATTTAATTATATCTTCCAATCTACTAATGCCATCCATAATAAAATTAGAACACTGTAAAACACTATTTGAATATCAAAGATTTAATAGGTTAAAATGTGTAACTTATATTGTTCAATTCAATTTTTAAAAAAATACATCGTTAAAGAAAAGTTATTACTTATTCTAAGGTTTGCAATATAATATCGATAACATAATATAATTATTGCTATAACTATATTATTATTATCACATATTTGTAAATAACTCTAATTCTTTTTTTTTACTTTCTACTTGGCTGGTTAACATAGCTCTGTTAATAAACAGTGCACAACAGAATCTGTCCGAACAGCTTCTGTTACAATTAGCACAGACACAAACCTATGAGCACTGTTATTTAGCTTTGTATGGACAATTTTTTATCTCATGCTACAAACTTCTGCGATTAAAGACAACAAAGCCAAACTAACTGTCACATCATCAAGAACTAATATTCAACTCAAATAAAAAAGCCGCAAATATTGTGGGTCCAGGATGTGGGCTTGGCAGCTGTAAAAGCCGCAAGCAGCCTCTGCTGCCCCGATTGTTTTGCCATAAGGTAGCCCCGCACCAGAGTCAGGGATATAATCAGGGACACTGATGTGAGTTGACTTCCACCTACCGACAAAAAGTTGACACCAACTGATGCTTGGCAAGGGAAGGGAACTGGGCGGTATTTTGTGTGCACAGTTCTCGGTGTAACTTAAAAGGGCCAGTTTGTATCCAGATGGTCACTTCCCTTGGCCAAGTGGCTAGCATAAGCGTACATCATTTTTTGTGTCACTTCGCTGGACTGAACTGAACTGAACTGACAACGGTTACTGCCCCATACTGGAGCTCTGTGGGTCCAAGCATGTCTGTCAAAGGCTACCAAAGGATTTTAGGCTTTAACACAAGCTTCTGAGCAGCTGTGTTGTCTGCGGGCTGTTTTATTTTTTTTCTTACGTCAGCTTTAAGCGCTGGCCAAAGTGTTAATGGCAAGTTTGTTGTTAAAGTCCAGATTTAATGTTGACCCTTTGCCTCTCGGCATCATCTCTGCCGCAAACTCTGTGTGTGTTAAATATGCTCATATGTTGGCAGGCCTGACCAGCAGCACCAAAAACTTAAACTTGGTTTAATTAAAAGTTTCTGTCTCTGCCATCAGCTGGAAGTTTGAATTTTTAGCTAAACACATCATATATGACAATCTGAGCAGGTTTCACTTTATTATGAATTGTTATGCTTTGTAGCAATACTTTAATAAATGTATAGCAATAAATGCATCACATAAATAACGCTTATTTTCCAACTATATGATTATTCAAATATTTTATGTTGTTTACATTTATTTATTTTATTTATTTACTTAATGTAAGTCCGCACTCTAAAAATCCAAATCTAGAAAATTTAAAATAAAGTTGAATAAACTCAAATTAATTGGCTTGAAATTAAAAGGAATGGTTAAGTTGCCAATTTAAATGAAACAACCGATATAAAATGTAAAATGGGCCAACATTTATTTCATTTTGAATTTTGAAAATCCAGAATAAGCCAAAACAAACCAAAAATGTTAATAATTAAAGATTAATAATATACAGAAAATATAATGTTAAAAATAAAGCGAGTAAAGTGTGGGTAAATAGAGAGGGAGTAAGGAAAGAAGAGATTGGAAATTATCCAAGACTGGGCCATTGAAAAATGTACCATTGCATTAATTGGAATACTAAAGAAATTTCAGAACATAAGTCAACTAGCACGGTAGTTAATAAGTCATTGATTAATTAAATAACAAATATTAAATTTGTTTAAAAAACAAGGTATTAATTTTGTAACTTTGTCTTCAAGCTATTTTTCTCTGATCATGGATTTTATGGAGGCACTATTGCTATGCCGACCACATCAAAATGTAGTAAGCCACTTTTCAACCATTGAAATTGATGGTAAAGAGTTCACTAAGTGTTTATAAAGCCTTTACTCCGTTTTCTAACGGTTCACAATAATGATTGATGAGCACACGAAATGCTCTTTATTCCATTTACGTTGAAATTGATGAGGTTATCTGCTCTTAATGGCTATCAAACAGAAACTTAATGACACAGCATCCGCAAAATTCGACACCAGTCCATTGTAACAACCGATGGCAGTCGATGGGAGGCGAGTTGCAGTAAAATTAACCACTGCCCTTGGATGTGTTTTAAGCTAGTTAAATAATTTGATTGATTTAATGGGACTAACTGGGCCAACTTTCAAATCCTTAATTCGTACATACACTCAGAAAAATTCTCAAAATGTTGATCTATAAAAATGTTCTGGATTTTAGAAATAATTTTTAGATATACGAAAAAAGCTTATTAAAATTATAAAGATTATTTTATTTTTCGAAAAATATATATATTAATAATAGAAAATACTTCGAACTATCTATAATGTTTGTAAGTATTCTAGTGTGTTTTTTTCTGAGTGTAGTCATTGCATATTCTTCTTAAGGATGGTAGAAATAAAAGCCATCAACTTATACTATATGAGTAAAAATAATCAGTCGACATTGTGAATGCCACTTATAGTTGAAGCATCTCTATAGATTATACAAGTATATATAATAAATAAATAGATCTGTACAGCGTTCCAGAGAAGATTTAACTATTTTAGATGCTACAATGTCCATGATTTAGCAGTAAACTGCAGTTTAACCCAAGCTGACCGCACAAGAAATCGAAACTAATTGCTTGAAGCAATTGCTGGAGTGGGAATGGGGACGACTTTGGATGACATGTGGCATGGAGAATGCGATGCACCATTAAGCAGAGCTGCAGGAGAGAAAGATGCGGCGCTTGGCAGTGGCTGCAACTGAAAAAGTAGCTGCCATATATCTTGCAGTCACGAATGAGTAGCTGGCAGCGGACATAAATCGTTAGCAAAATGTTTTTGGCGATTACAGGCGGCTGTTCTTCATGCAGCTTGCAAACCCCTTTACCACGCCACCCCCCTCCCCCTTACCACATACCACACACACACCCACAAAAACACACGCATCCATCGCTGCAAACCACTCGAGTGTTTCGCGTGTGTGTCAACAGGCGTTCAAGTTTTTGACAAGTCCCCCTTGTTTAGAACAAGGCACACTATCTCTAGCCCCCTCCCTGCCTTCCCCTGTTGCACTGCAAGGGACAAGGACAACTACGTAGAGTCAAGTGATTTTCTTTTACATTGTTGTTGGCATCCTATTGTTGTTGCTGTTGTTGCTGTTGTTGCCTGTCCGACAAAAACATATTGTCAAATGGCAGCCGACTCCTGTCAGCCATAGAAAATAAGTATATAAATGTATAAATATATACATAGATATATATAGTATTTATTTACTCTCAAGTGTGCAGATAACTTCTGGCTTATACATATAAATACATACAAACATTAAAAAAAAAAAAATAAATCGCACAGCACTTGAAAACCGTTTTCAAAACTTTACTTTGTGGTTTCATTTTGTAAACACGCGCATTTTTTTGCTGTCCGTCATCAAAAATTGTTAGTTTAATTGGCATTAGCCTAAATGTGTCCAACTGGGACAGTCAGTCCGCCCGTTTGTGAAAAGAAAAAATCGCTTTGAGCAACAATTTTAGCTTGTTAGCTTCAATATAATGGGCACAAACCACTGAGGCATATTTTCATTTTTTTTTCCTTCTTTTTTGTAAAACGAAATTGACAGGACTCTCAAAAAGATGCCGCAAGGTGCCCGTCACATTGATCAAGAATAAATTGAAGTATCATGTAAAATATCAACGCCTAAGAGAAATATCTCAAGCTACTTTAATTTTAAACGAAAAAATTTACTTGGACTAAAATGTAA